GGACTGAGCTGTAAGATCCAAGCACCATATCTAAGATACAGTCAACTTAATATTCTTGGGCAATGTGCACAAACTGAATGACTCACAGTGGGCTGTATACAGTCCTCAGGGATGACAAAATGTTGTCATGTCTGCATCCCCACAGCACCTAAAAACAAATCAGAACTGTGTTACTTTGTTAAGACCACAGCATCTCATTTGAAAACCTGCCCTAAAATAGTAAAACCAGCAACAATTTAATTCACTCAAAGCTGTAGAATGGGAAATAGACTCAATGGCAAAAGAGCACAGAATGTAAGTATTGCTGATGTAGTGCTTGAGGTAAAAACAACCCAGCTGTAGTAGATACAAAACGATCCTTGGGGATCCCTTCCAACTTGGGATTCTGATTCTATGATACAAAAATAAGGTGTCCTGTTGTTTTCTTTCCCTTTTCTCTCTTTTGTAGCTGGTCCCAGTGACTGCATACCTTACTGTTCCAGTTCTGGAGCTGTCTTGCAACATGGTTGATTTCAAGACCTGCTTTGTTGCACAGACCAAGACTGAACATGTCTTCCTGTGTAACAGGAGTGGCTGTAGAAGTTACTGGACTGCTTTGCTAGGTATTTGGGTTGTGCAGTGGGATCTCCTTGCTATGTTGTTTCTTTGTCTGCTTTTTCTTTTTTTTTTTTAAGACTGCATGTATTCAATATCAATAGCTGATATGAGATGATGGTGTTCACTCCCAACATACCGTGTCTGTTTCTGTTCTCACTTATGTGGGATTGTTGTTGTTTTGTTTTTACATGAGCATATATCCCTGCTGATTTCAGCCTTTACTCCAGGTTTAACCAGTAGATCAAATCACAGCCCCCACTGTCAGTGGGACACGTTCATTTATACTACAATCCCAGGAGGCAACAAGAAGCAGCAGCTCCTCATGAGAGCTGTTTGAATTTGTGCCTAATGGGATTAACAACAGATGGACTTCAAAGGAGGGAAGAGCAGGGCCTGATTATTCAGACACAGAGGATATTGATCACTGCCCTTGATTAAAGGATGAAAATTGAAACTGGCCACTTGCATAGAAAACCTGTGACAGTGCAAGAAGTGATGTATTGATTAGTTGGCAGGCAGGAGGTGTACTGTTTTTAGTGCTATATGCTCTACAAACCTACATAAGAGCTTTTGTGTTGCATTGTCTGCTATTTGCCTTCTTCATTGCAGATCAACAAGAAGGGCACAATGATCTGGAAGTATTTTCTGTCTCCCCTGCTAACGGCATCCTGGAGGCACGTGAAGGGGAGCAACCTACCAAAGACATGTTGCAGATCACCTTTACTGCAAGGTACAATCAGCAAAACTGAAACCCTGCCCTTAGTCCCTAAGAAGCCCAGACTTACACTGTGAGAAGTCACTGAGAGCAGAGAGGAGTGCTGCTCTGTGCTTGTGTTACCAGCTTCTGATGCTAATCCTGTGCTTCCAGATGGTGCTTTCTCCATATAACCTCATTCCCTGTGCTGCTTCCTCATACAGGATTTCTTTTAGACTTCTCACCCCAAATTTCAGACATGCTGTAACAACAGTTGGTATAACATACTGTATGACTGGATTAAATCCCTACCTGTAGGGTAATATCTTCAATGGAGAACAAATCTCAGGCCTGTAGTTCAGTGCAGAGGCTGATACAACAGTTAACTCCTGTGTGCATCCAGCCCCTTGCAAGGACAAAGGGAGAAATGTGTCCAGAGTAGTTCAAAATTCCAGTAAGACACCTACTTGTTTTGCCTGAAAGAGCAAAGTCTTGCAGCCACTCTCAAGGATCCTTCATTTCAGTTTAGGTGCTCTAAAAGGAACTTTTTCAATTCCTGCACTTCCAAATAGCTCCTAATGAGCAAATAGAGCAAAATGCAAATTCTCCTGGAAAGATACAGTTCATTTTACTCTCGTTTAGTCTGGTGCAATGTTTGGGCTGAATAGACCAAATCATGTTGATGTTTGGTGGAAAAAATAAATCAATGCAATCCAGTTGTCTGTAGTGCAAAGGTTTTCCTTACAACAAAGATAACATAAACTGCAGGCAGATAAAAGCAAAGGGCAGAAGAGAGTAGATGCAAATAACTCTCTTGTAAATATCTGATATTGTTCTAATTACATTTATGGACATCTTATTGGAATGTTGTCAGTGAACTCTGAATGCTGCTGACAAAGCAAATTACAGGTGAGTTATTTGTGTAATCTCAGGTGCTCTGGGTTGTGCTCTGAGCCCTCCATTGCTGGAGCTATTGGAATCTTTGGGATGAGGACTGGAGCAGCTGCTGTTAAGCTGGCTTTGCTCTGAGCACGTCTTGGACCAGAGACCTCCTCAGATTCTCTACTACTTAAATTGTTTGGCAGTTCCTTTTGTCTGCCTGAAGCACTTAATTTTGCCTGCCAACAGATTGTTTCAGGCATGCTGCTGCACCTACCAGAAATCACAGACCTTTCTGTATAGCAGCCAGCCCACCTGCTTGGCCCTGGCCCATAATAATAGCACAGAAGAGCTCAGAACCAGAATGACATTAGTAAATAATTACATGTGAGGTGATTGTAACGAGTGGTCTTCATGCAGGGGAAGTTTGTACTGGCAGGACAAACAGAGGCAGGCCTTTACTATGGCAATCTCTGAGAAGACAAGAACTCCTTCAGATGGATTATCTCAATGTGGTTGGTTAACACTAGCCTTAAGCAGACTCTGCTGTAAGATTTCCACTTGGCACAAGTGCTCAAAGTACTCCTGCTGGGAGCTTTTTGATTTTCATTTACAACCTGGACTTAGTTGACTGTCAACTCCAGTAAGACAAGGGATAAGCTTTTCAAACTTGTCTGTCACAGGAAGGTGTTATCACATCAAAGCAGTGCATGTATTTGCTCCCAAACAATGCTAACCCCTCAGGAAAGCTTCATGTAATTTCTTTAACTCAAATTGACTTTCACAGCTAGGAATACAATCAAGTTCCTCTTTCAGTGATGAAACCAATAACCCAATATCTTTGTGAGGTAGAGACTAGCATTGTTTAAAACACTCCCTATGTAGCCAGAGGACATGAACCTGAAGCCAGATCCCTATCCCACACTGTTAAAAGTGTTAGTGATGAGGAACAGTTCATTCCTTACAGCATCTCCTTTTTCTTCTGTAAGAAAACTAATCTCATCCTGAAACACAGAGAGGGCTCCAGCTGTAACAGTTAATGTCTTCCCCCTCTCCATTTTAGGAGTGACACTGAATATGAAACAATCCTGACAGTTACTGGGATCCTGGGAGAGAAGCCTTGCAAGCTACAGATCAGGGGACAAGGAACATATGATGGGAAGTACGAAGACATGTATTGATTTAAGCAAGACAATGAGGGACAAATGTCAAGGTAAAAAATCAGCTGCAAAAACAGTGTAAGCTGAGCCTGTACTTTCATTCATTTCAGCTGTTATACATGGACTGAAATTTTAGCAGAATAAAAAGTTATGAGGAGAAAAATACCCACTGATGGTACTTTGAAAAGTCATAATCCTATCCTGTGCTTGTACTGCTGTAATAAGCTTATCATTACCAGCAGGGCCAGGTTCTGCAAATGGTGTTTTAAATTGCAAGCCAACCATGCTAACTGTTAGGCCAAAGCAGTGTTGTATAGCAAAATATGCTGCAAATTACACTTGAAACTACTGCTTTAAAAAGATTTTTGGTTTTGCCCTTTTTTGGGGGAGGGAACACTGTTTGACAAGAATTAGGGAACAGGACAGCATTCCTGGGCTGTTTTCTCAGCACCTTCCATGAATATGAGCAAAGCCACAGAGCCAACTTAACTTCTCACAGCCTCCTCTATGTTTCATCATGCTTGGGTACTGAGAAGAGCCCCTTCAGCTTTGGAAAGAAAAACCCTTCTGCCTTTTAATTCCTTCCTCCCCCATGGTTCCCATTTACTTAGACATCTCTTCAGATGTTTTTCATATTACTTTAGCTAAAGGTCACTGAAACTCCCACTTCTGAGGTTTTCTACTCTCATTGCGTGAGGGGAGGAAGGGGCTGCAATCCACACTGGAAGAGAACAGAAGATGGTATCTCCCTTCTGCCTGCTATAAAGCAGAACTTACTTTCTAAGTAGGAAGTAACCTTAGTGTGCACAGAAGACCCTGAAGCTACTACTGCCTCTCTACCCCCCTAAATAATTCCATCTTTGAGCTTTAAATATATATGAGGCTGTTGGGTGAGACTGGGTGCAGGAACAGAATGTAGGAATATCAAATGGCTCTAGCTCGTCCTGACCTTCAAATAGCAATCAAAATAAAAAAAATACAAACATATTGCAGGACACCAATCGTATTATTAAGTGCAAAAACAAGATCCAGGACAAAGAACCTCAGTCTGTTACAAATTTAAACTTTCTAATGTGTCAAAGATGATTACTGCATTTCTTTTTCAGTCCATTAGCTGAAAATTTCAGTGATCTTTTTGTTCCCAAGAAGAACAGATAATTTAAGATTTTACAAGATGAAATCAGCATTAGCACTGACGTACTGAGATGTTGCCAAAGTTCATGTAGTGCTGAAATCTGCTTCATATAAAGAATAACTCATTAGGCCTAAACTTGTCTTCTAAGTTAGTCATAGAAGCTCACAGAAATATATTGTAAAAGCTGGAATGGCCACTTTCAAACTCCTAGTTTCTATTCAATTCTTCAGCACCTTTGTATTAAGGCACCCCAACAGCTTGTTTCTACCTTGCTCCTGTAAATGACTTTCCGGCCCTTTCCACTTTGCCCCACTGGAAGTCTGAGAGCAGCGTGGTTTAAGAGAAATAAAAATATACAAAGCTGAAGTACATCTTGCAGCATATGGAGGCTTTAAGACATTAGCCAAGTTACAACAGATTGGGAAGGTGTAGTTGGTTATCAAGGAAATGTGAAGTCTTTGCCCTGCTTTCAAAACAAGCCTTGCCAGACCTCCTGCAAGATGGTGAATTCTTCAAGAAAACCCTAGGAAAGCCATTTCCTCTGCAATGACATTTTCATTTTGAGAAGCGGTTTTAGATTTGTCATACAAAGAAAGGGTACAATGAACTACACTCTGATAATATTCACAGAATAAAGGGATGAATTAGATTAGAAGTATTCATTAGTAATCATCACCGTAGGGCCTATATTTGAACTTTAGCTGAACTCATTCCTTCTCTCATGTTAGGTTGCTTTTCAGCTCTGAAGCAAGTGCTGGTTTTCATTCTCCCACTTGCACATCAGACTCATATGATTCATTCTACTTCACACTTTGTGCCTGACATTTGTAGATCTAGTAACAAAAACCTGAATCCTCTTGATTTCACAGTGCAAATCATTGCTAGTACTGGAGAAGGCAGAGAATGAGTTGCTGTGTTGGGCTGTCAGTATGCTGGAGTTCAGTTCCCTGGATACTCAAATACTGCTGCAGCTCCCATGCCGGTTCCAATGCACATTGATACAACACCATATGCTCTGAAATGAAAGAACACAGGGAATTAGGATAAAAATCAGGCTTGTACCACCTGGCAGGAAAAGAAATCCAGTAACTTTCAGTTATCCACTGCTCTCCAGTGTGTCACCATAAAATTCTAACTCCATGTTCAAACCTATCAAAGGGATGGGAGGAGAGCAAAACCTGAACCAATGTTATGCCTAAATTACCTTCAGATACACTGAAGGCCAACACTGTTGTTTGGTGCTCACCTTTTCCCTCTACGCTTCAATTCGTTGAGCAAAGTGACAACTTGACGAGCGCCAGTGCAGCCCAGTGGGTGCCCCAGTGCTATTGCTCCTCCCAGGGGGTTGACCTTCTCCATAGGAATGCCCAGCTTCTCAACGCAGTACACAGCCTGTAATGACAGGGGATTGTTTCATAGAGATGCTCTCACCTGTTAGTTCTCAGCTCTCCTGCAGCAGAGAGCTCAGAGGGCTGCAGAGCAGACTGGTGATCTCCTCCATACACAAAGAGCTGGGCTGACAGTCCTAGGCAGGTCTAGGTGCTTCCAAAGATCTGTGCTCAAAATGAACTTAGCTCGATTATGTTTTCTTTGACATAAAATCCACACTGTTGTGTCAGCTGCTTTGAAAGGATTTTAGTATTAAGCAGTTAGGTTTTAGTGGCCTGGCATCAGCTAGACCCTGGAAAGCAGGGAACTATGTTACAAAGCCAGAGCACATGAAGCAAGCTAAACCTATCAACTCCATCTCAAATGAGCCCATGGACTTTCAACAGGCAAGGCACATTTTTGTGGAAGACACACAAGTGAAGTTTCTTCATTTCATTAAGGATGCTCAAATTGCAACACACTGACATCACCCTGTTACAAATCACAGCCCTTGTGAAACAGCAACTTCCCAAGTTGGTGTAAGGATACAACCGTAAGGTTCGCACTCTCCACGCTTTGTGGAGAGCTAATTATTTTTTTTAATCAATCCTAAGCTATATAGACAATGCCCTGCTTATTTTTACTTAAAAGAAAATGAAAGCAGCCTGTACGTGTTCTTAACATTTGGCCAGAGAAATGTAATATATGGAACAAGCTCAAATTTTGAGACCAAAGTGAAAGATAACGTTTCAAAACAACATAATGACTCAAAGTGATGATGATCACTCACCTGGCTTGCAAAGGCTTCATTTATTTCATATATGTCAATGTCATTCAGAGTCAGACCTACAGTTCAGAAAAGTAAAGATTTAGAAGATATTTTTGCCTTATCACTTGCATCAAAGGGAATAACTCAAAGTCTTCATTTATGAATTCTACTTCTACTCCACTAACAGCAAAAGAAGAGGACCCTGGTTCCCCGTGGGGTGTCTATGTTCACATGCATGTTTATGTATAACAGTATCTAAAGACTGCAAAACATCACAGTTCATGGTATCCTGAGTTTGAAAAGATTCCAATTAAATTTGATTTCTTTGCACAGAGGTTAAATATCAAAGGGTATTTTGAGACAGAAAGATGACAGTACAGCCAAGCCTGCAACCACAGTGATGACAGGGAGATACAACAATAATCACGAGCTATTTAACCTTGTGAGTATGGTAAGAACCCTGAGGAAAGCCTATTCCACGGGTCAGATGCCAAAACTGTAAAGAAAACCAGAAACAAACAAGCAAACCACACACACACTCTAGGTATGCTAAGTGAAAAAAGCACTAAGTGAAAACAGCACTGTGAACACTAAATCACGTGCCACATGTTAACAGTTCGTTGTGAGTGTGCAGGGATTTAACCCTGAGCTTCTCAAAAGTGAGCAAATGACAGTAACTCCAAAATTAATAGTATTATAATGATCCTAGGATCTCATTTAAGGTTCTGAATGTAAGCTTTTTCTCTGGCTGATAGCTGCTAGCAAAATCACCTCAGATTTCAGTCACAGAATCTGGCTTAGCCTTGTGCTGAACATTGTGTGAGTGATGAACAGTTCCTTACCCGCCTTCTGCACAGCAACAGGGATGGCATAGGCTGGCCCTATGCCCATCACGTCAGGGGGGACTCCAACCACAGCAAAGGACCTGAGCACTCCCAGGATGGGCAACCCCAGCTGTGTGGCTTTGGAGCGCTTTGCCAGCAGGACGGCAGCCGCTCCATCGCTGACCTGGCTGGCGTTACCTGTTGGAAGAAATCTATCAGCACCTCCTCTGCCTGAGCACGCTGTATGGGAAGGCAGACAGGCCAGGGGAACGACAGCAATTTAACAACAGAGCTGACCTGCTGTAGTGCTGCCATTCTCCTTGAAGGCAGGCTTCAGCTTTGCTAAACCTTCCAGGGTCGTAGAGGGCCTGACCCCTTCATCTTGGTGCACAGTGATGGTCTTCTGGTTGCCCTCGTTATCTAGAACAGTGGTCTTCACTGGAACAATCTCAGCTTTAAACAGTCCCATCTGCTGAGCTTTTGCTGCTCTGTTAAAAGAAAAGCACAGAAGGTTAAAATAACTTCTAAGCTAGATCACTTTTCAGTGTGAATTCATAAAATGTAACTATTTAATATTTCCAAATAAGGGGGAGTAAGAGCTGAAGGACAGCTCAGTAAGCTCACAGACATCCTGAGCCAAAGGCCAGAAAACTGGTCCTTCCTCAGATGAGAGGAGAGGATCATGTTCACATACCCTTTTGTGCTATCAGTTCAATGTCAATGAGAACGCCTGGCATGCCAAGTTCCTTAGAAGCAGGGCCAGAATTTAAAGGTTAACTGGCCTGAGTAGTGGTTTCCTGTATTAGATAAATAATTGGACCGGAGCGATGCTCAAACAGGATTCTGAAAGTCAGATTAACTCTTTGTTGCCACCAGCTTTAATGTCTCACCTACCACTACAAGCCCCAGGGACTCCAGGAGTCTGCTTACTTTGGCAATGGCTTAACCTAAGAGAAAGGTTACTGGAGGCAGAATTGGGCTCACTTGAAGCCAAACACCTGCAGCACAGAGAAGCCACTCATATCAGCTCAGCAGTTCTCTACAAACAGCTGCTTTCAAATATTTCCTCTTAGGAAAGATTCCTTCTGTTGCAGCACTCATGTTCAGTTTAAAATGACACTGAGCCAAAGCCGCTATGAGAATACTATGAAACCCCATGACAGCTGTATCCTTTAAATTCTAATAAATACAGGTGCACTCAGTGCTCAAACTTGTATATCCAGTGCAGCTCTGGCTTCCTTAGCACACCACCCTGGACACGAGATGGTTTGACTTGATGATCTCAATGGTCTTTCCCAACCCTAATGATTCCATGGCATCAAATTTTGAAAGCCAAGATGAAGTCTGTACTTAACTACTTATGGGAGGAGCAATGTTTTGTTGTTGTTGGGTTTTTTTAATCTGTTTTTCTATCTTTGTTCCTTAACCAAAAGGTAAAAGAAGTAAAATAGAAGGCACTTACTTCTGTTGGGAAGCCAAGGCAAAAGCATCCTGCTTCTTTCGGGAAATTCCAAACTTCTCTGCCACATTTTCTGAGGTTATTCTGGGGAAAACAACATCAGCAAAAAGAATCCAATGACACAACCAATGATGCTGCAGTTGGCTTCTGCCAGAGCAACCCAAGCTACAGGCAGTGGCTTCAATCTCGAAGCTAGCTGCAGACTTCTCAACGTGGAACTGCTTGGCACCTACCCCATAGGAATAAGGCAATCACGAGCTTTGCTGTTTTCCATCATGCTGGAACTGATATCACCAGGATTATTTCCACTTCTGAGGGACATTGTTTCCACACTAAACACAGGAAACAGTAGAAGTTACTACCGCTGCTTCCATTTCTAATGTTTGCCCATTTGTGACCCATCAAAACTCAGTTACTCAACATTCTTCCCTATCTCCCTATAGAAACACAACCAGTATGTAAAAACTGCCCAAGGCAAAAGCTCTTCAAGCAATAATATACAATTAGCACAAAACTAAAACAGACTAAATTAATCTTTGTTTTGCTATATAATACAACATCAGTGTCAACAGTTGATTTCTCATGTTCTACAGCAAGGAAGGAATTGCTGACCATCCTGGCACTTGTCCTCAGATGTAATGAGAAACCCAAGGTTCTATAACTGCCTGAAAGGAGACTATGGTGAGGTGAGGGTTGGCCTCTTCTCCCACATAACAGCAACAGGATGAGAGGGAATGGCCTTAAGATATGCCAGGCAAGTTTGGTTGGGTATTAGGAAAAACTCGCCCAAAAGAGTGGTCAGGCACTGGCACAGGGAGGTGCTTGAGTCACCACCCCCAGAGGTGTTCAAGAAACATGGAAATGTGGGACTTCAGACATGGTTTAGTGAGCAATATTGGTGGTTGGTAGGTGGATGGTTGGTATAGATGACCTTAGAGGTCTTCTCCAATCTTAGTGATTCAGTGATTCCATGATAGCCAGGAAAAGGCCAGGTACAGCTTAAAAACCCACTGGCAGCATAACAACACGAAGTATTATGCAACCCACGACAAAGAGACTTGAATGAGTTGTGCCATTCGCATTTTGCAACACAAAGAATTTCAGACACGGATCCCATGGTCTTTGACCTACAAGTGAGTGAGCAGATTGAAAACACCCAATATTACTGTCTAAATGTAAAGCCACTGCTTAGACTAGCAAGCTCCTGTACAGTCAACCCAGATCATGAAGCCTAAAATGGGAAGAGAGTTTGAATTCTACTCTGTGCCACATAAATACATTAACAAAGAGCAAGCCATGAAGAAAATGTCCCTGGAAAATGCAAGATATCCTTGAGCAGAAGTTGGACCAGGTGACTTTCAGAGATCCATTCTCTGAAGGACAGCATCTCTTTCCTGGGAAGAACATAGATCTGCTTAGAAGGGATCTCTAACTCCTCATACATGAACAGAAAAACATAGCACTACTTTCAGGAAGCTTATGCAAATGCCATGAAAAGTTATTCTTACCCACAGGCCATGCCAATGTCATACGACCCATTTCGGATGCCACCTGTAACAGAAGTGCACACTCTTATTATCATCAAGAGCAAAAGCACTTTGAGTTTGGCTGTGGATCTGGAAAAGCTGACATCCCCTACACCTGAATGGGGCATTCCCTCCATGTTCCTGGCTGCCATGTCAAGAGGTGATGTGGTTGAAGACCAACCACAGCCTGACTTGAATCTAGATGTAAATGTCCCTGATGGAGCTGCAGAAGTCTGTGTCCATTGCAGAGGAGCTAGACTAGATGGTCTTTAAAGGCCCCTTCACTGCTTCTATGATACTGTGGCGAGGCCAGGACTGACCCTTCTAGATGTGGAATGTATGGCAGATCTCATCTTCAGGAGACCAAGTCACATCTGGAACGGTAAACTCAGCTTTGCAGGGATATAAAGGCATTCCATCAGCAATCCACTGATAACTCCTAACAGCAGAAGATATTATGGCTGTTTTTACTGCTTGGAGAGATTGGAGGACAAATCAACGGGATACATAAGCACTTGGGGTGGGACTCTAGCCTGAGAGCCCATAATACTCCATGCACTTACCAGCTATATTGATAATGGCCTGTAACCCAGAGGAGCACTGCCGGTTCACACTCGAGCAAGGCACTGTCTCTGGGATACCACTAGAACACAAGATAAAGACTCAGCACTGCAAAGCACACAACAAAACAAACCCCTCAAGAGAACATTAAGCCACCTGATTAAACTTTAACCCTCACGCTCAAGACACATCCCATTATGCATTTGTTGACCTATTTGGTCCTGCACCAAGAGAAAGCAAAGTTCATCGATGATTTCCAAACTTGATTTGCAAGCAGCTCTGTGCCAATTCCCCCAGGTCTACCTTCAGAAACTGCTCTGTAAGCAGGTCCTGCTCCCCACGCCAGCTGCTGCTCCTGATAGATTAGCAATGTATGCATGCAAGGGAATGCCTCTTTGCACAGTGCTCTCCAAACGCTCGATAAAAGTCTGATTTGTGGGCAAAAGGTGATTTGCCTCATCGCAGCCTCTGACCCAGTGCTGCTCCGTGGCCAAGACCCGAGAAGGAACCTCGACGAGGTGAGAGTTTACCTTAGGAATTGTGCAACTCTCGCAATCAAAGCTCCAGCTCCCGGCTGCAGCACGTTTCCTGGGTGCAAAGACATGGGCCCGGTCAGTGGTTGCACTGCCCTGCTACACGGAGGGATGCTGAAGGGATGTTAACATCACCACGTCGGTTGTCGGGTGCCACAGGACACCAGGACGGAGCCCAACCCCTCGACGGGACAGTCAGACGTCCTGATGTTGTAACGCTACACATCCCTTTGTGTTCATCCCTTTGTGCCCCCACGGTCCCCAGCGGGCAGAGGCATCCCAAAGGCCATCCCCACACAGCGCCCATCGCTCACCAACGCAGATATCTCCCAGCGCCTCAGGCCGCAGGCGGACGTCCTGCAGGACAGCCGTCATGACGGCAGACAGCAGCTCATCAGGCGTGGTGTCCTACAAGCACACGGCATCAGCAGCGCGCGGCGAGCACCGATAACCGCCCCGCCGCCGCCTGCCCTCCTCAGCTCAAGGGGTCGCAGCGTGAGGTGACCCCGAACGCCGCCCCTCGAGCTGCGCGATCCTCGCCGTACCTTGAAGCCTCCTCGCTTGGCCCGGCCGATGGCCGTCCTCCGTCCGTGCACCACCACCACATCCTCGGGGCTGGAGGCCGCGGCGCGGCTCCCACACGGGACGGCCCTCACGGCGCCCGTGCCCGACAGGTGCCCCAGCACCGCCCGCACCCTCCTCGCCGCCCCGCCGCCCGGCTGCGCCGCCGCCATCTTGTCCGCCCGCACCGCCCCGCGCTCCCGCCCTCGTCCTTCCCCAGCGCCGATGGGGGCGGGCGCCGAGCTGACACCGAGCGGGAGGAAAGCGTCCTGAGGGTGCGGGAGCCCTGCAAAGGGGTCTGTGCTGGGCTGAGGGCTCTTGTATGTCGTTCGGCACGGCTAAGTGCCGGGTCCTGCACGTCGCTCACAACAGCCCCATGCGTCGCTGCGGGCTTGGGGCAGAGTGAAGGAGCTGGGGGTGGCCATAAGGCCAGCGGCATCCTGGTTGTGTCAGCAGGAGCTGTGAGGGGTCTGGAGCACAAGTGTGATGGGAGCAGCTGAGGGAGCTGGGGTTGTTCAGTGTGGAGAATAGGAGGCTCAGGGGAGACCTCAGTGCTGCTTACAGCTGCCTGAGAGGAGACTGTGCTGAGGTGGCGGTCAGCCTCTGCTCCCAGGTAACAGCGATAAAATGAGATGTGATGGCATTAAGTTGTGCCAGTGTAGATTCAGGTTGGATATTAGGCACAATTTCTTCTCAGAAATAGTGGTAATGCAGTGGCACAGGCTGCCCAGGGAGGTGGTGGATTCACCGTCCCTAGAGGTGAACCATGAACATCTCCAGAACCATGGAGATGTGGCACAGAGGGATGTGGGCATGGTGGGGTAGGCTGGGGTTGGACTTGGTGATCTCAGCGATCTTTTCCAACCTTAATGACTGCACAGATCCCTGCCTCCCACCCCCTAAGGTCCCCAGGCTCCCACAAGGCACAGCCCCAACACAAAGCCACACAGAGCCGAGGGATCCGAGCCGCAGGGGTTCATTATTGGGGTACAGCCGCCAGCCCTGGATGCTCAGGGCGGTCACTCCGGGCTCTGCAGGCCCTGTCATGCCCTGGCACAGCTCTGCCTATGTACAGTGGTTGCCTACTGATAACTGGCCCAATAAGAAGGAATTATACAGATGTATAGGCTACACGGTAAAGATGATATACAATATCACACTGGAGCCTTTTCCCGACGAAAGGAAAACGTTTCTCTACGCTACACGGTGAGACCGCGCGGAGAGCTCTCACACGCTATGGCCGAAATAAAATATATATATATAAAAGAAATTTACATGGCATAATATTACATTCTCTTTTCCTAGTTTGTACATCAGAACACTGCGAGGGTTTTAAAAAATTAAAAGGCAAAGGCACCTGAGGAGCGAGTCACACTCACGTGCATGTATACATATACATGTGTACATACACAGACACACACACACATACATACACACATGAGCCAGGGGACCAGGCCTTCCAAAGGGGGCAGATTTCATAGAGTCGTGGCATCGTGCAATCATAGAAGGGTTGGAAGGGATATTAAAGCCCACCCAGTCCCCAGCCATGTGCCTCCCCAGCACATCAGGCGGCCCAGGGCCCCATCCAACCAGGCCTTGAGCATCATCAGGGATGGGGCACCCACAGCTCTCTGGGGAGCTGTGCCAGGGCCTCACCGCCCTCATCATGCAGAATTCCCCCATAATATCTAATCTAAATCTCCCCTCTTTAGTTTAAAACCATTCCCCCTTGTCCTATCAAGACTTGAGACGCTCACTGGTTTCCAGGGATCCTGTGCTTTCCTCCCGAAGGTCTTTCAGCAGACCAGTGTTGGTCAAAGAGACTGGAACCCAGCTGTGGTTTAAACTTTCTTTTGCAGGGCTGATGCCACTCAGAGTGGTGGGCACCCAACAGCTCCTCTCTGCCTTATTTTAGGGATCCCTCCTGCAGCTCCACACACACACACACACACACACAAACACACACACACACTGTCAACATGCTGTCAACACGGCTGCTGCATAATTGTGCCCGACTCCATACTTTGTGCCGAGTCGAGCATCACTCCTTGATTGTAACCGCTTAAGGCACAGATCAGTATTGAACGCTGCACCGCTGGAGATGCTGCCGCCTCCAGACGGGTTCCCTCCCCCTTGTGACACCTGGATCCCCCAACTCTGCAGTCTGAGGATCACCTCCTCTAGCCTGGCAGAAGCCTGGTGTGTTTCTCTGTGGGGAACGGTGATGGTCACTGCACATCTGCTTCCTCCGTTGGTCCTGGGGTTGCTGGTAGGGGGACAGATGCAATCCAATGCACTTTTCCCAAGAGATAAGTGACACGGTGAGCAGGGATGCCCCGCAGCACTGCTGATGGCAGGAGGTTGCTCGCCCTGAGGCTGACAGATGGGATGTCCGGGAAGTCTCTTGTTCTGCTTTCCCGGTGGTGGCCACCATTCCCAGCCTCCGACCATCCCGTGCGTGTCTTCAAAATCCAACAAGGCAGCAGCCACCAAGGTGGTGACCAGCAAGAAGGGACTTGTGGGGCCACCAGCAGGACGGCCCAGCACTGAGGTCTGAATGCAGAGTGCAAAAGGGCAGTGGGGTCTGGCAGCCACCCCCCCCCCTCCCATCGGTACTTTCCAGCCAGGGCTCAGAGCCCGCAGTTGACGAAGGGGTGCCTCAGCAGGTCCTCAGCCGTCGGCCTTCGCTTTTCCTCCACAAAGATCTGCTTGAGGAAGTTGCGGCAGGAGCTGGAGACGCCATCAGGGAGCTGGGGGTTGGTCGGCTGGGTGGCGATCTTAAAAATAGCTGCCATGGCTTCGAACTCTGCCCACGGCGGCTTCTCCGTTAGCATCTCCACCACGGTGCAGGCCACGCTCCTGCAACAACAACGACAGGCAGGAGTGAGACAGCAGACAGGAGTCTGAGGCAGCACTATGCACAGGGCTCACTGCTCCCACAGTGAGAGCAGGATCACACGTCTCGTCCTACAGCTGGTAGCTGACTTTGAGAGGCTGCACCAGATCCCACTGGGCCTCCAGGCTGCATTTAGCTAACTTAAAATCAGGGCAACCAAAACACAACAGCTCTTCTGACAAACTTTGTTATCAGCCTGTTTTTCAGACTGAAACAGCAGCTACAAGGTGGAGCCACATATGGCCCTAACATATCAGGCCTTCCAAAAGCAACTTGTGGTTTTGAGTGCTCTCCTTTGAAGACCTTCAGCTACGACTCATATCACACAGTTGATTCTAAAATTCAACTCCCATTTTCATCCTTTGCGTTGCTCTGTCTTCCAAACACTTAGCTGTGCCTGTTGTTCCTGCTACAGCTTCCCAAAAGGACTGTTTAAATGGTAGTGGTGGGGTTTGTAGTGTACTCCTTACCACACATCAGCTTTCCTTCCATATCCTTCTCCACTGATAACCTCCGGGCTCATCCAGTACGGTGTTCCTGTGACAGATTTAATCCCAGTCCCAGACATGCAGATGGTCTGGATGCGTTTGCTGGCCCCAAAATCTCCAAGTTTCACATTTCCAGCAGAGTCTCTCAAAATATTGGCACCTAGGGATGCAAAGCAACAACAGGAGATGAAGCAGCAAGCTAGCTGAACAGCAACAGCAAGGACAGCAGGAAGGGCACAGGCAAAAAGCACAAGAGAGAGTGCAAAGGGCCACGTTGGGGCTGCTTTCAGTGGTACACAAAATTTCACTCTGCTAAGGCAGATGCTGTCCAGTAGGGCTGATTCCCACCGGCTCTCAGTCAGCAGGTTCTGCAATAGTGAGCAGTGAATGGGAGATGAAGAATAATCCTCCCCATGCCATGACAACAGAACAGAGCCTCAGATCCCTCTGATTGCCAGGATCTCTCAATTCTTGAGTATGCTGCACCAGAGTTTTAGAAGTGTAGAGATCTGATGGCTGCACAGACAGCTAACAGTAAGAGTATTTAATGTGAGACCCCAGGCAGAAAGACAGAACAAGAATTCGGTTTCAGCTGCTTATGCAAGATTCTCATGGTTCAAACTGTTGAAGGCAAGAGGCAAAGCTAGGGCAAAAATACCAGATCCCAGCACTGTATTTTGCACAATAATGATGTTGGGCTGGAGGGATGCTAGGGTGAAGCAAGCATCAAGAAGCCTCCTGGCATGATCTGCTCACCTTTAATGTCCCGGTGGACAATCATATTGCTGTGTAAGTAGAAGACTCCCTGCAGGATCTGCCTGGTATACTTCCGAGTGACGTTCTCAGTCAGAGCACCGTATGCTTTTAGCTGGTCCTTTATGGAGCCCTGTACAAGGAAACAACAGCAGCAGCCATGAAGACCAGCAGAGCCAGGTGCATCAAGTCACAGGGACTTCTTGAAATTGCCTCACCACTACATGTCTCAGCTTGAAAAAACCACTCCGCTGTAGAAACAGTAAGATAAAAATTCATAACGTGCTGAACACAGCTAAGATTTGTCCCCAGTGTCCCACATTCCAATGGAAAAAGTGATAGAGCCTCTGATGGCCAACAGTGCTATCCTCTGCCAACACAAAGCACAGATCTTTTTCTCCCTCTAGTGGCTAGACTCCACCAATAGCTCATGGAGAAGGACAATTCAGATTCCTCAGGGTCAAATCTTCTGTGAAGCCTTTCTCTGGCTCCTTACAGCAAAGATTACCTATTGCTATAAGGAGGGCAGCCTCATGGGAAACATGATCAGACAATGGGTAAATACCCTGCCTCAGGTTCTGATCTAGGCATGCAGACTCCTACTAGTTTGATTTTACTGATGAAAAAGGGAAGGAAGCAGGGGTGCAGACATCCATCCTCTCCAGGAGATTGTCCCCTTGGTTTTAGCTGTAGTTTCTGTCGACCTAAAATGGATATTTCTCACTGTGTCACGATTGGGTTCCAGGATAGACAAATCAGGAGCAAATCTGGGGTTCGGTACCAGAGGTCGCACCTAAATCCACCTCCAGCATTCAGGATGAGCAGAAAGTGTGAAGGGAAACTCATCCTCATTTCTACCTGTCCTGCAGCACAATTGATCCAAGACTGCCAAAGTCTTTCTCTTGTGGGAACAGTAGGATGCTGTGCTCCAAGTCACTCAGACTGTCTTGGCTCTTCAACATTCACCCATCTCTGCTGTTGCTCTGCTCAGCTACTATTCTGGTTTTCTGTAGAGGCTGGCTGTGATCCTGTGGATGGGCCTCTAATTTCCCTTTGATAGCATTGC